TTACCTGGGTACTGCCTGAAAAAGCCTTTGGCACTGCCAAAGTACTGCCATATGAGCGATGGGTCTCTCTCAAAGTTATCCACAAACACTTTGTTCAAGGCCTCAGACCAGAACACTCCATTGACAATGGCAGAGTCTGAGTGAGAAAAATGGAGAGGCAGACAAACAGTGAAGGGAGGAAAAAAGGTTAAAAATATATATATATATTTGCAGGAGGTTGGAGCGTATATTCTGTGGTGCCTGCTCATTCAGTCATATCATATCACACGCTGCACGTCCACAGGCTGCTACCAGGCTTTATTCATTTCAGAGAGATTCAAGAAAAGCAGTTAGCAGAAAAACAGAGTACAAAATGAGAGAAGAGAAACAATATTAAAAGGATGAAAAAGAGGCAGGATAGAGGAGACTGCTGAATTTTATAATAATTATATATAGTCATGGTAAAAAGAAAGTACACCTCTTTTCAAGTTTTATGTATCAGGACATTAAAAAACTCCCAGCAGGTCTTACAAGAAAGGCGAGTACGACCACAGATGAACAGCAAAATGCTATTATTTATTTAACAAGTCCAAATGTAGAAGCAGTGTGTAACTTAAGTAAACTCCATAATCTGTGGAGCCACGTTCAGCAGGCGTAACTCAAATGTTTTCTGTCTTTCTCACATTGTTGTGGAGGACTTTTCTTCTTTACAACGTTGCTTCAGTCCATTAAGATCTGCAGGCAGTTGTTCTTGCACTGCTCTTTTGAGGTCCCACTAGAGCGTTTCAGTGACGCTGAATACTCGACTTTACTCGTCACCTCTTTTCTTTTTCCGTCTGTTGTAGATTTGCTGCGCTTGTGATGACTGTGCTGGTGCGTGACCCAGTTTCAGCCCAGCTTTAATTGTCAGACAGGCAGCAACACTTTCGTATAGAGTGTTTATACTTTAGTAGACTTGACCTTGACACACAGGAGTTCATGGCTGACTCAATGATGTGCCCAGTTTCTGTGATTGCAAAAAAGGCCAAAGCTTAACTTCTCTGTCGCCCTGTTTTACAGCTGGTAGATGTTAATGTTGACCTGCTGTGTTTGACACTTGTCTTGTCTGAACATTGTTGCAGACGTCTTGTGGTCTGCTCAGATGCACACTGGCCATCTAAGCTCTGCAATGTTCTTCTCAGAGAGGAGAGGCTTTCTCCTGGCAACCCTTCAAAACAACTCGCTCTTTTTCTGTCCATTCTGTCTCTAACTTCAACGTTTAACACGCTAACTGATGCCTGTCGAGTCTGAGGGGCGGTTTTTCTGAACATTGAACGACCTTGGGGTGAATTTGCCTGGACCTTCTCTCCTGGGAAAACTGCCTTCAACATTTTCCACTTGTGGATAAGCTTTCTTGTAGTTGGATGATGGATTTAATATTTTTTGGAAATGGTCTTCTAACCCTTTTCAGGCTGATGGGGAGCATTCAGCATTGCTGATGTCTTTCCTTTTTGGCATTATGTTAACACAACCCTGAA